ACATGTATTCATGCAGATTCTTCATTATTTAATTTCTTTAAATATAATACAGGGCGATAATATTTGGTAACAACAATTTGCAAGGAGACACGGACATTTATACTGAAACAGCGCAAAATGCCACTTCGAGCTAATAAATTAAATTAACAGTAAATAAAAAAAAATCTTATGCAGAACTAAAAATAAATTTAAAAAATAATCACTATAAAATACAAGCAAAATTAATTATTACGGTTAAATACAATTTTAATATTAGAATTAAATGTATAAAAATTAAGGAGTCAAAAGTGTTTATCACTATGATGTATTATGAAATATAATTGAAATAAAATTTCCTTTATAGAAATTGTGCTATAATACTCATCTATAATTTTAAAAAAGCAGCACAATTTAGAATTTTAAACAAAACTTTCAAAAATTCGTTTTTAAATATTTTAGTATTTTTTACTTACTTTTTTATGCTTTTTACCAATAAAAAGCATAAAAATTGCTTGTTTGAAATTTTCTCTTAGTTCAGATTTAAAATATTATTTTCTAAAAGAAGTAGTTACAAGTTTCCTTACAGCATAGGAATAGCTAAAAAAATATCCAGCCCTGAAAGCATGCAATAGCTTTATAATTATTTGGAACGTTAATTATGCTTGATAAATATGCTAAATTTTTAAAAACCAATCTCAATTTCAAAAATAAAAATATGCAGAAATTCTAATTCTTGACAATTATACACGATGCAATAGGCAACCAATGTTAAATTTCTGTAATTCGTCCGTACTCCTCCGGATGTGATCAAGGTGACAGCCGGCAACGCCTCAGACGGAGAAAACCCGTTTGGGTTAGTCTATTTCTTATAAGGTCCAAGGCTGGTATTCTAATTCAGCATTGGTCGTGGATTTCCACATTTATGTAACCTGCAAGCCTTTTTTTTTTTTTTTTTTTAATCCGATGGCGGGCACTTGCCTGTTCAGCATTGGCCAGGAAGCAATCATGCTCATATTGATTTCTAAATACAAACAAACATTTATGATTTTAAAGTTTATTTCTGAAGGAATTGGGCTGCTGCTGCCTTGACTACATAGTCTCATTTGTCCAATACCTGGAATATGGTATTCAGGTTTTCTCAATGAGTATCTTAATGCAATGGAAACGGTTCAGTAAAAATTATCATGACCGATTGAGTTTCCTTAACATTTAGCTTCGAAAACAAAAAACTGCAAGACATAGGAACAAACTCCTGATGATCCCAGACATCTTCAAGAAACTTATAGGTTCCAGCAAATGTGACTCTCTTAATGAGTTACTCTTGCTGAGAAAAACGCAAACGCTGTCAATAGTACTGATAAATTCCAATTAACAATGAAGATTATCAATTTATATACACTTTCTACTTCCACTGGATTTTGTGTCAAATTTTAAGTGGTTTTGTACATGTGTTTTTCAACAGGTTTCATGAGGTGCTTGCAATAGCACAAAAGTAATTAGGGCTCAGGCAAGCGTAGAAAAAGTATCAAAGTATAATTTCGGCATAAATTATTAGAGGTCTCTGAAATAGTTACCTAAGAAACATCGTTTTGAACAAAGCAGATCATCAGTCTCTTGATTTTAAGCATAAGTACCTCTTGGCTAAATATTTTGGAGACAGACGGCTATGAAGATAACACAGAACTTCTACATTTATTCATAACTAAAAAAAACAACAACTGTCTCAAAAGAAAGGTCTGTCTAATAACTTTGAGAGTGAAGATCTGATGCAAAATGAAATTGAATAATTCTTTTTGGTTTTGCTGTTTTGATCCTGCACTCTCCTTTTTGAACACTGAACACAGCTCCTATAATAAAAGTATTGTCACCCAAAGTTATTTCAGACAGTTGGTTCAGGAAGTCATTCTTAAAATATCTGTAAAGCTGACGGCTCTATTTCTTGGAGCAGAATTTTTATCAAGGAGAGTGGTGTTATTAAAATTAATAAGAGATATCCCAATAACTGCTCAGTTTTTTTTATCGAAATTGATAACTATCAATGAAGTGTTCAGTTACTGCATGACTTCTAATCTCGACAAAGATATTTAATTTCTGAATGACAGCCAGAGCTCTATTTAACATCTGTGTAAATGGTGGAAACCTGGTGATTATACCACTCAGATGAAATACCGTCTTAAAACTGAAATCTAACAGTTAATAGAGCTGACGGCTCTATTTCTGGAGCAGAATTTTTTAAGGAGAGTGGTGTTATTAAAATTAATAAGAGATATCCCAATAACTGCTCAGTTTTTTTTATCGAAATTGATAACTATCAATGAAGTGTTCAGTTACTGCATGACTTCTAATCTCGACAAAGATATTTAATTTCTGAATGACAGCCAGAGCTCTATTTAACATCTGTGTAAATGGTGGAAACCTGGTGATTATACCACTCAGATGAAATACCGTCTTAAAACTGAAATCTAACAGTTAATAGAGCTGACGGCTCTATTTCTTGGAGCAGAATTTTTATTAAGGAGAGTGGTGTTATTAAAATTAATAAGAGATATCCCAATAACTGCTCAGTTTTTTTTATCGAAATTGATAACTATCAATGAAGTGTTCAGTTACTGCATGACTTCTAATCTCGACAAAGATATTTAATTTCTGAATGACAGCCAGAGCTCTATTTAACATCTGTGTAAATGGTGGAAACCTGGTGATTATACCACTCAGATGAAATACCGTCTTAAAACTGAAATCTAACAGTTGTGGTTCTCCAGAAAGTCCTGAAGTATGTACTTTTCTTCTGTAGCACTAGATTCTCAGGTCAAGCTTGAGATCAATTTATCTTGAAGAGGTACTACTTTGATTATGAATGATATTACAGCAAAAAAACTTTCCTAAGGCGACCAACAGAGACCCAAACTGCACCAGCTAGATTCAGCAGCAGCCATCTATGTCAAGAGAAACATGTTTCTATTCACAAGGATTATACTCTATGGCTCAAGTGCAACTTAATACAAGTCACTTTCTTCATATCCTTTTGAGCATTGCCTTCTTTAGGGTCAACATCTACTCTTCCAGAAACTAGTTCTAGAACATCTCGGATGTAATGAACTCATAGACTTGATCCAATGCTTTTCTCAGACAAGCGAGATAAGTCATTACAACAATTATTAATACAGCACAAAGTCCAAGATATGGATTATTAGATCATCAGTTTAAATCTAGTAAGATGGCATGCAGAAATTATAAAATTAAAATATGAAATCATGAAACATTTATTAACTCAAGATATCAAAAAGAGCATAATATTCATATGTTTACTTTATTAACCCTTTGCACTCGAGGCCTTTTGCTCAGGTGTACCAGCCACTTTAGACAATTTTTCACATATTTAGTGAATTTCTTAGAGACAACTTAAAATGATTTCATAGAATCTAATGGTTCTTTTACGTCTGAAGATACTTGCAGTCCTACGGCTCTTTCGTCTGATACAAACGGTATTTCTTCAAAGTCTGTGCACATTATTCGTTCTGAATTTTCTGTCTCTTCTGTGGAGTCACTTTCACATTCACTATCTATTACTCTGATTTTTCTCCTTCTTACACCTCTTACTTCATCAGTAGTTTGATCCTTTCTGTTATCAAGTAATCTATGCACAGACATAATTTTCTTCATCAATGAAAAATCGAACTCATCTTCACTCAAACTGATTCCTTCATCATATTCCATGCTTATTGGGTTCCATAACTGAAAATAATATTCATATTACCACAACTTTTGAGTTCAAACTAACATCGAAGACGCATATATAACAATAAAGCTAAGAAACTTATTGAAGATTGGCAGTTGTTTTAAATGTATGTATTGTTGAATACGCTCTTAACCAAACCTAAAACCATTGTCACCGCTCGAATTATTGCCTCTAAGCAAATGGTGATCGAGAGTTACCTCTCGAGTGAAAAGGGTTAAACATTTCTTTCAATGTACGTTGGTTGCGTTGCCTTGTTTTTTGTTCTAATACATTCTCTTTGATTCTATAGACAGATATAATTTCTTGTTCAATTACTAAGTTCCATTGTTCAAGTCCTGTAATTGCTGTGTTGAGAATTCCGACTAACTTGTCAATCGAAATTTTGTCTTTTTCAGTAAACTATCACTTTCTTCACTACCGGCAGCAGTATTTTCTGGATCTAGAACCATACTACAAATTTTGCCGTTCATTAATTGATTTATGATCGGGGCATTGACACTGCAACGAAAAACTTCTGTTAACTCATCTACCCTAAATTCTGCCACCAGGTGTGGGCATACGAGTTCTGGCTTTATGAGATTAACAAATCAGTTATTCTTAATTAAAATACCACTAAATGTAATCTTTTAGCCTATGAGTATCATTAACAAAGTCTATTTTTAGAATATGGAAAGAAATTTTTCTTAAATCTTTCCTCGTCAATATTTCTTAGTGCATTTAACTTAAATCTGTAATCGGATAATACTTTGTTATTCAATTACTAATAAAAATACTGTTTAGGCATCACTGCATGACTCATCACTCAAGTTGTCATGGGTTGATAAACATGTGGTGATGAAAGCAAAATATATAATAAATAACAATTCGCCAGGTGTGTCAAGGATATAAAATATTAGTTGGTATAAAATTAGCAATGTTTCCATGTAGAATGTTTTGGTTTGCGATGTATTCCAAGCAGATACACAGCTACGGAGTCAAATTAATGATCACACAAAATGCTGAAATGATTAGTTCTTCATTAATGAGGTATTTTATTTAGTGCCAAAGTGAGATTAAGAATCAGGATTATCCGCATGTGTTATTACTAGGAGAGGGAAAAAAAAATCAAATGCACATACATAAAGCATACCCCCCCAAAAAAATCCTAAAAAAATTGGTTGGTGATGGCTTTGAGGTTAGGATTTTAGATCATTTCGGATGTTGGATGTCCTGATCTCGTACTTTATACTGTATACTTATTTTTACATATATGCTTAGAGTAACCAAAGCATACAAATGAAAACATATACTAAAAACAATTTTATTTACATAATAATGAATAATCTAGCATCAATCTTTATGAATTTTAACATAGTTATAAGATTAACATTATATGCTGCAATGCCTTTCACTCCAAACACAGAATAACTTCTAGTTTTTTTTTTCAACATATATGATATAACAAATATTACTCCATGTGAATATGCTGAAAAATCATGGTGATTACCCAATAGTTCATTCTATATACTCTGTGATAAAAATATATGCAACAGTTCACCAAATAAACAAGCAAATTATATAGTTTTTTTTTTCTTTCAATTCAAGACAAAGTTATTTCTATCAGCAGTTATATATTATTCAATATAGAGCAAAAATTTAACATTTTAAACATAATTACAAAATAGAATGAATTCACACAATGCATAATACTTTTATTGTGATAAAAGTAACACAATATTTATTAAAAGTACAAAAATATTGTTAGAGAGAGAATGAGACCAAGGAAAATAATACCTAAAATTAGTAAATCTAATTTATCATTTTTACAGCATCACTGTCATCAATAATTGTACCAACCACTGTATAAATTAATATAAATTAAATATTTTAAATTTTATGACAGGTTAATTTTTTTTAAATAACAAAGTAGTATCTAACATATCTATGAAAAACTTTCAAGGCAAAGACAGCTTAAAGAAAACAAGTGATACTTTCTGAAAATATTTTACTATTAGTAAGAAGCTACTTTCTTCTTGGAGGAATGAAAAAATAAAATAAATCGCAGAAACATTGTCGATACATTTAAACCTAAAATGAAAAATTTTTTAAATTCCTAAAAGGAAAATAAAGAAAAACATACTCGAAAATTTAAAAAAGAAATTAACGAGAAGATACGTTTAAATTATTACTGTCAGGATAACAATAAGAAGTATGAAAATAAATGTTAGCATTAGATGCCAACAAAGCAGAAAAGATAAATACCCAAGTAACATTTTACACATAAAAATATTCGCCATGCTTTATTTGTAATAACTTATGCACAATGTTTGCAATAAAATTCATTAGGATGAATAAATTGTAAAATATTCACAGTTACACATATGTTAAGATTTCTTTGCCAATGACTCACATTTGAGTTTCAAAAATTTAAGACTTTGCTGTAAACAGTCATCAATGTCAATAGTTTCGTTAGATTCTAAGTACAGTTTTTCAAAAAGCACGTATGTGTTGAAATTTTCATCTGGATAGCTGATATTGAAGATATAAAAAGCAGCAACAAGACAAAGTATTGCTTCTCCAAATGTAAAAGCTTCGCAAAGAAGATTTCCTTCGACAACTATTTTAAACACAACAGAGTCATGAAATAGCTCACTCATCTTTGATGTGCGTGCATCAATATGAGGAAAATCCCCAGGATCAATATCCTGAAAACAAGAAATACAATAAATATGCATTCGCTATTAAATAACTATCACAGTTGATTCTTGAAAACACACATTTGAACTCCATATGGCTTAATTTAGACAAAAAAACAAAACTGTCTTAAAAAATATGAAAAGGGGGAAAAATCATAGGATGACAGCAATAATAACAGATGATGCTTCAATATCTAGAAGCTGTTTTATCTACAACAGTACATAATTTATTTCTACATAATAAGACACAGACAAAATTGTACATAATGCTGCAAAATAAAAGTTAAAAATGATGCATGTTTGAACTTAATGATGCTGTTTGAGTTGTTTGGTGAACATTGTTCTTTAATGACATTTATTACATTTTCATTTCTAATGATGTTTATTTGTTGCTTATTTTAAGTGTTTTATACACATGAGTTAACAGTTATTCATTAAAACTAATTTTAGCATACTGATATGTTTTCATTTAATGTACTGATTTTATTTCTAGTAGTATAAGGAAATAAATATTAAATTATTAAGTTTTCTAATGACTCAGACCTAACTTTCCAGTTTCGACTTCAAATATCAGGTAGTAAAAAATATTAGGTGATGAGGTTAGTTTAATTTATTATAATGTGGAAAAGCACATGAGAGCTATCTGCCAAAATACAGCAGTCTTAATCCCTCAGTATTAAGTGATGAGATGTTTCAAAATCTGAAAGCTGTATTTAATAACATAAGCCTTTTAAAAAAAAGCATGCATAGATAATAAACAAAGAAAATTACTATATAAATATATATAGCAATTGTCGTTGAAAATAATTTGCTTTTTTTTAGTGAAATCTAGTCACCTTCTAACACTCTGGATTTCTATCAAGAAATTATTTGAATTCTGATACTTAAAAATCATTGTATCTGGAGTTGTGTTTTATGGTTTTAGTGAAAAAGATCTTAGAAAAATTAAGGTGTCTAATGATATCAGATATATAAAATAATAACAATTTGTCTCAGGCAAAACATTTAATGTCTCCAATCTCCATAAGTTTTATTTTTAATCATTAGATAACATACTACTGTTCTGAAACTAGTGTATGCATTGGAGAAATGTAAGTAAAGTTCAGAAGTGTAAGCAACTCAAGATAAGCTCTTGATCTTTAATCTGATATCAGATATACCAATTCGTAGCAGACTTTGGTTTATGAAAGAAGCAACACATTTTTGCTAATAACTACAACCACAAAAGCCTGTTTTACTAATTAAAGCTTTCCCAGTCTATCACTGTTCTTGCCAGATCTAAATTTAGTTCTTGTTTTAAAAACAATACTGAAAATTCTCTCGTATTTTGCATTGTTATGGAGAACTGTCAAGATGACCAACATTATTTTAGAGCAGTGTTTTCCAACCTTCTTTTGTGCTATGCCCCACCTAAGCCTTTCTATGCCCCTTCAATTAAAAACTAAAAAAAAAAGTAATATAAACTGGAGTGTAAATGTAGACTGAAACTGCATGTTTAAATATATATGGCCCATTTACCTCACTGCAAAAAAACATACTTTTTCATTTGACAATTGTTTCTGGGAAATGATGCTTCTAAAACTGAAATTAATAAAAATTACCAATTGAATCTACATACCATTTGTATATCATTTACATTTATACAATGCATATATTTTTTAAAACAATGAGACTTTTCTAACAAATTTAACGGATGCTTTATTTCAAATTAACATCACTGGTGAATGCTGAACGTTACTGTGGAACACTGCAAAAACTGAGATCTCGCGTTTAGCATTTTGCATCATTCAGAAGACATAGAGCAAACTGCTTAGTGTCAAACCAGTATAACCAGTAGTTTTACTCTAATGTTAACAGGGCGGACAGAAGTTGCTTATACTGGAGGTTTACCCAGCTCGAGTAGCGACTGAGAGTAGTCATACGTTTAACTTAAACTCTGAACAAGCCTATTTTCGAATTGCCCTCCTTAAAACAATCAAACTGCCCTCTTGAAGGGCATGTGCCCCACCTTGGGAAACACTGTTTTACAGAGTTCACAACACTTTAAGATTCAATCACAACTTTCCAGTTTCCAGTTACAGCCCACTGAGTATCAGTTCCTAATAGTTTTGTAACTTTAACCAGTTTTCCTAATTATAAACTATAAAATTGTGATTTCAATTTATTTGTTGCAATAGCAATATCTTCATCTTTGAAAATTAAGCAAAATAAAACTGAAAATTTATTCAAAAACTATCTTAAATTAGGAAAAGATGCAGCTGCTAGAATACAAATATCTGCAATTTTAGCATGTAAAAATACTTCACTGTTAATTTGAAATTTATATAATATGTAATTACATATTTGGCAGAAGTAACTTCTATCATAAAAATACAATTTCTTTTTATTTCCATCTGGAATCTCCTCTATTACTTTGTCAACAGCAAAAACTATTAATAAATCTTCGTTTTTTAAAATTTTATTTTAAGTCACATGACAGAGAGAAACAAAGGTTGCTTTTCAGACTTTAATATCTTTAAAAAATTAACGAATCACTGAATTTAAATTGCAGATTCTTTTTCTTCCCTGCAGAACTACATTACAAATATTGAATACTTTTAAAATGGAGTATATGATAAAGCAAAGAGGTTTGCTAAGGCCTAAAAGACAAAAACATACATAATCATAGTTTGTGAGGTAAAAAGTAACAATTGGATAGAGTTTTGCATAAGTATTGTTGCGTGTGTACGGATTCGTAATAGATTGAATGCACAAGTCCAATAAAAGGTTAATAAAATTTATTCCTATCACAAGAAATATAACAAAATGCTGGATTTTGCCTCAAAGATATTCATACAATGTCACATTGTAGTTATATTTTAAACTACTAAAATGTTAAATAAAACACAATTCAAAGTGCAGAGAAAGCTAATCTAATCTCACCATGAGTTTGCTAAAATAAACAAGAACAGTTATCTAAACAACTGAACTGAGATATTTCTTTCTGGCTTTTTGAAGTTTTTTTTTAATTGGGCATGAGAAAGTTCTGGTAATTTATGTTTTCTCGAAGTTTCCCGAAAGCAAAAGAGTAGAATTACGGTTACAGCTAATGATAGTCAATTACATTTATTCACATTAAATATAAATTACAAGATATTGATAAATAAATAAAAATAAAAAAAAATTGCAAACACAAATGATAAACTTCACAAACATATTATATTTGCTTGATGAAATAATAAAAGGAATGCCATCAGTAAATGTTTACTGAAGAGTACATACTTATCTTACTTTCCTCACACACATAACTAAGATAAAAGATTACAGATCCTTAAGGGCAAATTTAAATATTAAAATCACACCATTTATCATTACTAGAAATCCAGAAAATTGCATCTTCACTCATTGCAAATGGCCTATAGCCGTGTTTGATAACTATTGAAGAACTGAGTCATGATGTTTTCAGATATATCTATCCCCAGACATATAACAGACAGCAGTTGATATGTGCACATAAACAGATATCTTCTTCTTTTTTCAATAGAAAAAGCAAATGATTTCAGATGCACAAAATCTCATTTTTTAGTGTAAATTAAGGCAAAATAATAAAAATGATGAGATATTTTAGAATAAGAAAAAATCAAGAGAAAAATGTTGTAAATCGACTTAACAGAAATGTAACATCTTAACAATGGTGGCACTTCCTTCTGATAAAAAGAAGGAAAAGAGCTTAGGCAATGTTGGCCATAGCTCTTCCGCTATTTGAACATTTAAAACAAAGATTTTAAGTGGTTATTCCCATGCAAGGTACACAGTAAATAAGTAGATAACACCCCAAACTGCCACCAAATATATAGTATTAGTAAAAGATCCCATCTCTTAATTCAGGGGGTCGGTTAATTGGATGAAGAGCTGATTCAATCCCTCCCAAACCACCAAATGCAAACTCTTGACCAAACAACGGTGTGATGGTGAGTCTGAAAAATAAATTAAATAAGGTGGACAGAGGTACTTCCTCAAGCCAAGTGGCCAGGTGGTGTATATAGATTTGATATCTATATTTATATTCCAAACACAGCTGTGAGAGGGAGGCAGATGTGTAACTAAAAAGGGGGATGTCTTCGGCCCAATGGTTTTCTTTACATAATTTAATGCTAGTTGTCTGAAAAAGTTATTCACATGAAACACAGATGATTTTAAAACTTGTTGATTATAAGTTTTAGAGCTTATAAGAATTAAACTAACATTTTGTTCATTGTAAAATGAAAACTTCTCTAAAAACTTTCAGAAATCATATATATACTTTGAAGAGCCAAAACATTATGACCCCCTACTCAAACACACATTGCCTGACCTTTGGCCTACAAAACAGCTGCAACCCGCCTTGGCATGAATACCACAAGTTCTTGGTTGACGACTGGAGCTGCACCAAATGTCTAAGTAGCGGTCATGCAAAATCGAGAAATTCTGACATAGTGGTGTTTGAGCCCCGAACTGCCACTTTATGACATCCTAAATGTGCTGTAATGGGTTAAGATCCGCCATGTTAGGTGTCCAGGTCATTAATTGTAATTCATCTTTATGCTCTTTGAACCACACCACCACAATTCGAGCCTTGTGACATGAGGCATTATCCTTGGGAAGATTCCATTTCCAGTTGGGAAGACAGATGTCATGTTAGGGTGCAATTGATCTGCAATTACATTCAGGTAGTCCGCAGCTTTCATGGTCTATTCTACTATGACTAAGAGCCCCAAAGACGAATATGAAAACATCCCCCAAAGCATAATACCACCACCACCAGCCTATGTATGGCCTGCTGTTACAGCAGGGAGCAACGGAAGGCAACATATCCTGATACAACCATTGACATGATGAATGAGAAATTGCGATTCATCTGACCAGGCAAATGTCTTCCACTTACCCATGGTCCAGTCTGGATGCTCCCAGACCAGCGGTAGTTTAGTTGAGAATGACACTTGGTCAAGTCAACAGAGGCACATGAGTGGACGTCTGCTTTGCAGTGCCATATCCAACTGCGTCCACTGAACTCTGTGTTCAGAAATACTTGCAATTGGACCAGCACCATACCTGGTTGTCAGCTGAGAAATTGTCTGGTGCCGATTTTGCTGTACCAAGTAGGACAGCCTCAAATGCCCTTTTTTTTGGATGACGTGTTATAAGGTATTTCTCCCATCTTCTTAGCTGTAATGGTCAACACGCTTGGCGTGTATTCGAGAGGTCCGAGGTTCGAGTCTCGGCGAGGGCATTGCCCATTTTTCACGTCTCCTGCTTCGAAACAACCTAATGTCTCTACAGTGTTGACATTCAATACCAGCAATCTACTGCTGGTTTTCCCATCATTTATACACTTTGCATAAATACTAACAATGGCTGACTGTGAACAACCTACCAGTCATGCAATTTTGGAGATATTCGTTCCGAGTCTTTGGGCCATTACAATCTAGTCTCTATCGAATCCACTTACATCAGCAGCCTTTCCCAGCACTTGCAAAAGCGAGTGCAAGAATCACAAATTAGCTTCTCCAACAGCAGCTAAATACTATTTCCACTTAACCATGTGCCCTTCGCATCATCCAGATGAGTTACATAATTATTTCATTTGCAAAACAAAAGCTCTTATCCAATCACCATTCAAAACTGAAACACAAAAGCCGAGCTTATAAATATCTCATCTGCTCAATACACGCTTTCTTTTTTCTTCCCTGCTCTCACTTCACAAACACATAATTAACCATTTTCCTGCTTCCATCTATTATTTAAAAAATGTGACACGTTTTATATAAAATCATGAATAGTGTTTATACTCATCAAGGTTATATGACTGATCAAAATTATTTGTATCACTGTTAGGGGCTTAACAGAGCTATAAACAGGTCATTAAATACTAAAACGGGACCATCCAGACCCACAAACAGCAGAACAGTCACCATATTGCTTTAAAATAACTAAAAAAAGATTAACTATTACAAATTTAAACTTCTTCTTTAAAGACTGGCGAGATCTGCCAGCCGCTCCGACAAATAATACTTAATTACAAACTTTGTAATACAAAATAAAACATTATTTACATCTAGAAAAGAATACATTAACAATATAAATATGAACATTTTAGTTTTAAATAAAACAGGCATAATAAACTGAACTCATTCAATATACAACTCCATTTCGTTTACAGACACACATTTTATGATATTTGACAATCTTGATTCAGACCCTACATTTTTACATAAATTACTTAAGATACTAAATTTTACAATATTATGGATATATCTTTGCATAGAGGAACATCTCAATAACAGGTGCTCTAAATTATCATTTCTTACACCACAAGAACAAGCACAATTTTTAATCGAGAACCTTTCGTAATAAGGTGGAAAATGTCCATGATGAGTCAAGGCTTGAATAAGATACTTGTCACTCATACAATTTCTTTTACTTACTATTGAAATTAAATTGTAAGTGAACCTTTCTTTGGAATCAGGGTCATTTCACCTTGCCTGCCAAGAAGTCCCACTTTTTTTTTTCAGCAACGATTTCAGGATTCAAATGTAAAATTGTTCACAAGTAGTTCACAGTCTTTCTAGAAGAGTTAATATATAAGAGCAATCTCAATATAGCGATGAACACTACATGAGATATCAATGGAAACATGCCAATTCAGAACACATGAAGATTTCGCAATGGTTAGATCAGATCTATCCACCCTTCACCTCTGGCACTGGAAAACGTAACCAGGCTATCAGGACTTAAGTACATTCAAGCCTTTTTATCGAACAAAATTCAATAATGGCCTTACCTCTGTGGTCTTACGAGCATTCATAAGGTCTCCATGGGGAATTCTTGGCATTAAAATCTCCACCAGATAATTCTTTCAGAGTTCTTGTTCAAGTCAGTAATGCTACTGATGCCATGCAAATAATCATTCAAGTTGTCACTTGAGGGACAATACATGGAGATAAGAACGGCATTTTCATTATGCTTATCCAGCAATTTACATCATTATTTTCTCAGAACATTAAAGTTATCCGTTCTAAGAAATTAATGATGTGATTGAAGATATGTATCAAGAATGTCCAAGAATAAACCACGTGTTGAACTCAGCACATTTGTCTGCAACTCCATCATTCAATCAACAATTCAAGCTATCTAACTTAGTTATCTACAACTAAATCATCAGCTATTTGCTTTAACTACATGTTTAACAAATATAATATATTTAACACTTTTTTTTAATAAATGACAGAAAACCCAAGAGACAAATTTTTTTAGAAGTCTAGATTATAATGCAGATTAATATATTTGTTATTACAATGTACCTTATCCAAAAGTCTTATATACTTCCTTTCTTCTTTTGCAAAATTAGATAGAAGAAGAATGGACCCAACATTTCGTGCATCTAAAAATAAAATGTAAATGAATAAAATTCAATATTCAGTAGGAAAAAATTTGTCATTAGCAATTATTTCCATATTACAAACATTTAAAGAAAATAATTAATATAAAATGACGACGTACACCATGGCTAGATATTATTGCAGGAATAGATGTGATAAATACAGCATTAAATTAAGTTCATGGCACTCTTCATTCCTAATTCATTTTGGGGGGGGGATATGCATGTATGTTCTTACAAATTCTTCCATACATAGTTTTTACTTATTAGGTAAAGGTACACCATATTTAACAATTTAGCTTAACAGTATTTTATTAGAATAAAATATTAGATATATGCTACAATATTACAATTATTAGATACTGGTTATTGATTTATTTCTTCAAGAACATATTTGACGATGATAAGTGTTTATACTACTGCAATAAATTTACTGCTAATACCATGCAACAAAATTGTTCAAGGATATAGTTATTTTTTAAAAAGTATGATTTTCCTTCCTTCCTCAACAGCCCAGGATGGGCTATGGCCTTCTCAAGAAGCATTTTCCAGGCCAATCTTTTCCCTACAAACGTTTTCCATTTTTTGGTTTTAAAGACCAGTAGGTCATTTTCTAGCCAATCTAATCATCTTAGAACTGGTCTGCCTTTTTTTCCATGTGCCTGTTAGTCTAGTGTTGGAGACTTTTTTCATTGCACCGGTCTTCATCCATGATAACATGGCCTGCCCATTTTATTCTTTGGCATTTAGTGAAATTAATACTGCCAGGTTCATTATATGAGCGACACAGCTCCAAATTTATCTTTTAAGCTACACACCATCTTTTTGTATTCCTTCTAAAAAACTTGTCAAAACCTTCCTTTCAAAAATGCCCAACATATCCTCATTCATGCATGTCATGGTCCAAGTTTCACGTGCATATGCCAAAATTGGTCTTATAAGGCTATTATACAGTAAAGTCTTTGTTTATCTTTGAATTACACTTGATTATATTTTTGTATTCCACTGAAGCATCTATTGACTACAGTAATTCTCTTTTGCACCGGTAGTAATATTGTTCCTGTTGTAAATTTCAGAGCCTAAATATGTGAAGCTGTCGACAGTTTCAAATTTATATTCTCCCATTTCTTACTTTCCTATCACCCTCTGAATATCTTATATATTTAAATTAATAAAAAGAAAAATATATAAAATAATATTAATAAAAAGAAGAATATCTAAAATATTACAGCCATTTGACCTTTTTCTGAAGCTTATTATAATCACTGGAAGTACACTAAAACTTTTAACAGAACGAATGCAAATGGAAAGCTGTTTGTTCATTTGAGTGGTATTTTTACTTTAAATACAAGCACATTACTTAAAAAATATTAATTTTTTTAAAGAGATTGAAGGCATTTCAGTTTATGGAAACGAGTGATCACTTTGAAGCACAACACATCAAAATGTGATACTTTTTTACAATTTTTAGATGAAAAAGCATATTTAATTTTTTTTAAAACAGAAAAATTCTTCTGTAAATATAATTTTTCCTATAATCCATTAAATTTTAATTCACAATAAATAAATTTTATTGGATGAACTTTTTCTTCTAATTTATATTCAGAAAATAATCAAATTATATGAAACTTTTCCTATTACACATTCTTCCACAGCACACACATAAACAAAAAAGCAAAGGGGGACGGGGCAAGAAACTGTTTAAAAAATATGAAGTTGGCTTTGTGATTTGGAAAATAGTGTTTCAAATCATTCAGTTTTCCTATACAATATATATCTGAAAACAATTTTATAAATTTTAATTTGCATTAAGACTCATTTGGGCAGAAAATAACTCTTTAATCTTATTATGGTGTCATGTTTAATTGTTTAAAAAAAATTTCAAAACAAAATGAACTGTGGCATTTTTCTGAGCAGTTCTCTCCTTACATTACTTAAAAAAAAAAAAAAAAAAGTTCAAATGTGATTTCCAAATGAGAAAGCGAGCAATCTTCCCATTTACATTCAATGTAGATCGCCTTACTAGTACTTGCTTTGTGCATAAGTACCTGAATGCTGATCATTTGCATATCCCAGCATGTAATACTTTTTATGCAAAACTGATGCATGCCACCTTCATGATGTAGCAATTTAATATCTCTCTCTCAGACAACCATGTTTGTGGTGAAAGACAATCTCCAAAAAATTAACTCTTCTCATGCTCAAGAATACATGCACATCACAAGTGTAAAACATCACAAGAAACTTGCAGCTTGCAACTTTCTATGAATGTCACATGACTTTCCTCCTGAACAATTCTATTAGCTAAATGCAAACTTCACTTGATCTTCGTTTAGATGACTTTTCTCTGGCAATGTGTGTTTTGTTATCTAATTTGCATCACCAGTAAATCATGAGGACGTCCTTAAGAGTGAATGACATGCTTATTTGATTCTGCAAGGCCAAGAGGACATGTTTGTCCTCTCAGGTATTAGTGGCTTGGAACTGCTGAGGTCCTCCAATATGGCCCTCCTGGTTGCTTGATAGTCAATATACAACACAAACAGCAATGTTGAGGAATGATAAACTGCAATCCCAATTTCATTGTGATTTCCGAATGAGAAAGCCGCTATGCACGCTTACCACTTATATCTAATGTAGATGGCCCTACTCATAGCTGCTTTGTGCACAAATACTGGAATGCTGGTCATTCACATATCCCAGCATATAGTACCTTTTGTGCAACCTTCATGGTGTAGCAATCTAATACCTCTTCCTCAGAAAACTGCATTTGGGACAAAAGCAGATCTCCAAAAGACTATCAGTTTTCATGCCCCTAACCATAAGTGCATCACAACGTTAAACAAAGTATTAATAAACTCGAGTTTTGAAGATATAAAATAAATAATCCAAAATTTCATCACAAAATCAACAATACTGTAAAATACTTTTCAGAACAAGGGGAAGATATTTGTGAGCAACAACTGTTATGAAAAAGTCTTTATATATACTTTCAGATTCTTCTAAATAATAACTGCATGAAAATGTTTTGGAGAGTCTGCACAGAGCTTCTGTGGGCTGCTTTGCTGAATCAGTAGCATCACGGGACAGTACCTGGCTCACCATATGGTAAAGATCTGGTGTCTCATAAGCTTATTTCTGTCCCATAACAATTTTGATGGCCAGCAGTGTAAATTTCTCATTCTTTTATTTGTCACTTGGAAGTCAAACTTTTGTGTTTTATTTTTGCAACAAAATTTTACTAAATTAAATGACAGAGCAGTATAAAAAAAGATTGTCTGCTACTAATGGTTGCAAAAATAAAGACTGCATAAGAATTTCAATCAAACACAATATGGAATTAATATTCATGTAATATATGGAAACATGCTATATATTACACGAAAAACGGGAAAAAATATACTAATAGAAATATTATTTCTCTATTTTAATAATAAATTACAACAATACTTAGAACTGAGTTAGAAATGTACCACAAAGCACTGCGATATACTGTAAAATTTCCTATCAATTAAAAAATTTTAAAACTTCATACAACATAAATATACATTATAAATTTTTAAATATTGCTGAAAAGAAAAGCAGATTATTTCATTATTACTTTATAAATAATTTGACAACAAATACTTTTAATTAAATGAAGAAATAATAAAACACTTAACAATTTTTCTGGATCTCTGTTGTACACCTCTCCAACTTTCTGAAAGTTTTCATTAATAATGGATCTGTTGAAGGAACACTATGTAACACAGTTTCAGCATATTTTTCTATGTTTTTCAGGAAATCATCACATACTCCATGATGACAAATACGCTCTAACTCATTTTTAACCTGAAAGAAAATAATGGATGATGGGAAAAAAATCATGACGCCCAATGCAGAAATAGCATCATTGAAAGTTACGATTACTAGCAAATTCTAAGGGAAAAAATTAACACTTTACTTGATTTCTGCTCATCTCATTGAGACTAATAATGATAATGATAAATTCTTTAAATTGTTATAGTGAAATGCAGTGTATGGCTTTCGTAATTGTAACCATTAGTCATAGACCTATACTTTTACTGAAATAAATATTTATGTTTTGGCTTTTCTCGTGTAAAGAAATCAATTTTGTAAAATTTACAAAATCTAAGTTCTAATATGTTCCTCCAATTCCTATACTTATATTCAAGAAAATCTCATATTCATCATAAAAAGTAAAACACAAAAAGTGTGATTCCTGTATGACAAAAATATACTGACATATTTCATATTAAAGTCGAACATCATATTCAGAGGTCACACACAAGATGATGTGCAAAATGTTTGTATCTGTATGCAATTAAAGCAAAATATCAGTTTAGAAAACATTTTTTGATGTTAAGCGATCAAGTAAAGCATTAAACAGATTATTATCGAATGTATGGATGAATATAATTTTTTCAAAATAGTGATTACATTCACAGAATCAAAAAACTCATGCTCTAAGAAACACTGATGCTTCAGTATTAAACTCGTTATATTATTTGCATTAATTAAAAATATATTTGTAAATTAGTGATTTTTTATTACTCAATTACGATTATTAGGTAATAAAATTGCACAAGAATATGAATAAATATTTTTGACTTTGCAAATTTATAAATTACTTATGTAAAAGTTCTTTTGGCATGACAAATACAACAAAATTATAAATTAAAGAAATCAACCTTGAGTTATTCTTACTTATTTAATTAAGCTCTCAGTGCAATTTGAAAATGATCTCATAAATCTCAAATTTTGAAATTAAATATTTTGGTCAATTTTGTATTTTATCATTCATAAGGAGTATAACATTTTCTCAAACATAAATACAGGGACTGGTATAAAAAGTTTTAAGTCATAGTTTTTACAAAATTGATTTTTTACAATTTTAAACATTTTTGCAATTGGAAGTATAGTAAAAAGCCCGATTATTCAGCATTTAAATAACATCAAGCATCTCAAGTAACTGAAAATTTTAGAATTTGAGTTTTTTTTTTTTTAAAGCATCTTTTCCTTAAAATGAAGTAATTGGGAAACGTACATGTACAAGCATGTACAGAACTTTTAAAACTTTGCTTATAACTTCTATAATATGAATTGAATTACACGGCTTTCTTGCAGAAAACACTGAGTACAGCTCCCACCCACCTCTGTACCCATCATCTTGTCCTAAGAATTCATCCTTGGAATAGGATACCTCTCACAGAAAGAAAAGTGTGGACCTACTATAAAAGAACTTCGGTACTTTTCTGTTTTGCCGGCGCAAACGATAAAGTCGCCAATAATGGTTTAACTGATGCCAGACGGAATATCTTCGCTGGTAACCTTTTACGCCTCAGTTTCAAAACAAGTTGAAGCCATTTCTTATCAGATTGTTTCTTTCAATACTGGCATACAATAATATAGAATTTTTACACGATATTTAAATTTTATCCCCTAAGACAATTCATGGTAATTAAGTCAATTAGAACGCAATTACACCGCTCATCCGAAGGCGAAATCAAGTGTTAAATTCATCAATTCTAATGACTAGCGAAGTAAAGCACTGCGGTTTTACATAATTTCTGAGTAAGCTATTTGTACGAATTGAAATAATTCTTGCATTTAAACTTGTATTCCAAATTAAGATTTAACTTAATGTAGATAATTACTGAGCGAATTAAATTTTAGTAGCGTAGTTTACGTGAGATGAGATGAGATCACTTGGGGTCACGTGATACGAACCGGCGAATCAGGATTTTGAACTATGAAATCATAGTAAATTCTTAAATTAATGTCTTTTTACAAATTTATTGTCTTTATTTATGGGCTTTTTACAAAATTTTAAACCATATTAAAATGTTTATGCCTATACAATAAAAAAAAATTCTTAGAATTAACATTTTTTATGTGCATACTGTACGTTGTAGCCAACAAAGTCTGCTTGGCGAGATTTGCGCCGGCGAAATGGAAAAGTACCAGAACTTCTAATGGCAACTTTCATTCGAATTTCTTTGTTACTACAGAATGGGAACATAGACAGAGAGATTTCTTAAAAATTCACAACAGGTGTTTAATTTGTCTAATCATTATCCTCAACAGCACATTTAACAGGGGCAGTGACTAGAGTACTCAGTTCCATTAAATGCATTTTGGACAAAAGTCTTAAAATTATTAAAAAAATTTGGTATTTAATATGCTTTCCCATCTACCATTTTCGACAAACAAAAAATGTTGAGAATACTTTGATTTAGCATCAACAATGTTGTAGGGTTTCCCTTAGTTTGAATAAATAATTATTTAAATTTTTTTTACTGTTTCTGAAATCCTCTTTTTCCCTTGCATTTCTTCACCAGGATGCACATTAAAGTGAAAACGAGTATTTAAGTGGGTGAAAAGAGAAAGTTAGACAAAGCAGAATTTCACTAGTATAGTGCACGTTGCTATTTTGTCCTTCCTGCTGTTTATCTTAGTAGCCATTACGCCTTCTGGCCGTTTATTAAAGTCTATTGCCAGTACAGGCTACTGAGTCAGCCTGTTAGTTTTAAGTAGTCCAGCACTATTGTTTGCCACTTACTGCTAAATTATTCTTACGTTCCCATCGCAAGTAGTTGGTGTTATTATGAGCACGAAGTACATGCATTTTTGTTAAAGAGTTACATAAAAGGGCAATTTAAACCCTTTCCCTGTGTGCTATTTTTTCATGCCTGTGCGAGAAGTTGCCTGGCTTATTACGAAGATGATATCTTTGTATGATAAATAAAAGAGTAAGATCCTTCAATGTATACGTTTAATGTTATAAAACAATTATAAGATCTTTGCCTTAGTTTTATGGAAAACAGATTAATTCTCAATACCATACTTTCAAAAATCAGGAGATTTTTTTAAGAAATCGGGAGATTTTTCACAATGACTTTTTAAATGAGGAAAATATAGTTTTTAATAATGAATTAACTTTAAATAGTAACTAATTCTTAAATGCAAGCAACACAAAAATACCTTACACATAAAAAACATTTTTATTACTTGCAATCGTTTAAGAAAACAAAACAAAAAAAAAAAAAAAAAAAAAAAAAAAAAAACCCTTTAATCAGTTTTTGTACAAATGGTATAAACAGTGGCACATTTTGCTTTCTTTAAAAAGAAACTTCATAATTTTGTTCATAGCAATTGCCACCTAGGCCTGCTTTCACTAATAAAAGTTTTCTAATGTGTCATCACTAATATTAGATCTAAATTTAGTCCTCGTTTTTGCAACAACACTGAAAATCCTCTCACACTCTGCATTACTATGGGGAACTGTCAAGATGGCCAACATAATTCAAGACAGTTCACTATATTTTAAAATTCCATCAGCATCTTTCAGTTTTCCAATTAAACTCCACTGGGTGTCAATCCTAGCTGATTTTATACCTTCATCCAAGTTTTCTAATTGCAAACTGCTGTTATGCAGCTGTTGGACCTGTTTCAATTTTTCCTCCTTTTTAGAACTCCTTTCAAGATTATAATAAATATCAACAATGTGTTCATCCACATTTATTGGTAAAGAAGCTACTCCTTTCTCAGCTGCTAAATTTAAGAGGTGACAGGTGCACCTCATAATCTGCAAATCTGAATTTTCCTTTCTGAGGATGCCTGCAACAACAGTCTTCAAGCCTACCAATACTGGTGCATTATCAGCACCAAGTGCTAAGCAATTATCCAGAGGGACTGCATTTTCTTTTAAAGTTTTAATAATTAGCTGTGCTATATTAAAGCCTGTCAAATGTCCTTTTAAAGTGGGGACAGAAAGTAAACTGCATTCAATTTTTGAAGACTCTGGATTAAAAAAAGAAACAACAATTGGATACAGTTTTGAATCGGTATTATTGCTTCCATCCGTAGAGAGGCAGAACGGAGCTGTTTTAATGCGATCAATAACTGAAGATTTATTTTTTAAATCCATTTCTTTAACAATTGCACCTCTTTTGGTTCTTGCACTTAAGTATTTCTTAGCGATTTCACTGTTGGAAAACATTTTTCTAAATAAAGCTGCAGCGTGATTCGATGCATTCAGTGGCAGGTTGTGCTCCAGTAAAAAGGCAGAGAAGAGACATTCTGCATTAATAACTTTTTGCTCCTTTGTTTCCGAAGAAAAATTCAATTTCTTTTTTTCAAAACATGCTCATGTTGCCCTTGTGTTTTTGTGTACGCACACGTTTCAGAACATCCGCCCTTCCACCATGTGAAATCGAAAAATCGCAACGACAGGCGGTACACATCGCAAATTTATTACATTTCCTTAAGGAAATAATGGAAGGAAAGTCAACTGTGTACGATTTTTGAAATGTACACGAGTATTTCACCTTTCTCGCAGACATAACAAAAGATTATAATTTCTAAAACTATTTCCCGAAGGCACGTGTACTCACATAATTCAGGACAAAATGACCGAAATAACTAAAGAACATCCAAATAACAGCTTGTTTTGTCCTCATTGGCTAATATATGCCAGATGAGACGGAGCGGAGCACGATGCCCATTGGAGAACTGGAGAAGGACGTTTCTGGATACGTATATGCTCTCACTCACAAAGCAGAAGTTATCTAATTCGCAAGGTTTTGTTTTAAGATATAATCCAGAGAAAATTCATTTGCTTCGGACGTCCAAAATCACTTTTTTTGTTCATATAACAAAGTATTAAGCCAAGTTCCATAAAAATCGTGAGAAATTTTAAGATTAAGAAAAAGTCGGGAGAAATATATTGTAAATCGGGCTAGCGGGAGAGAGGTCGAAAATCGGGAGTCTCCCGCCTAAATCGGAAGAGTTGGCAACTCTGCAATAAGCTGGTTTAGTTTTTGTAATAA